AATAGATTCTTCTTATTCTTTCTGTGAAATGATTTGTGAATTGCTGTGCAATCAACTGGCAACAATGTCCCTGCCGGGTCAGTAGGACTGAAGGTAGATGCCTGAAGGGAGTGAAAGCCATGTTTTGACAACTCTTTCACAGAGGGTGTCTTGTCTTCAGTAGACACTCTGAATTATAGTTTGCCGGTTTCTCAATGTTGCACAAGTTATTTTTTCTAACAGGACTGAACAATAAGATGAAGGGCTGATGTCTTAAATCACTGCAGTAACTTCCTTGGTCACCACCTGACAAACTCAACAGGACAGGGTTTTCAAAAGCAGTTGTCAGTCTTGCAGACCTGGACTGTTTGCACAACTGTTTAGCAGATTTGGACAAAGGCTTTTAAGACATGCAGAAATCTTCTCGACTTTCTTAGCCCACCTCTCTGCTATTTTGGTATTGCTTCTCACTACATCATATCTACAAACCTGCCAACATCTGCTGATAAAAATCAGACAAGTATTTGCATGTGTTTGCATAAATTTGCATATATCTGGGTATAGGCCAGCAAAAGCATGTGCTTTCTTACTTTGAAGGGATGTTATAACAAGCCCTGAATTGAGTGATAACTGCATTGGTGAGTGAGTACTGTGTGTCAAGACAAAATGGTCAATAAAATATCCATTTCTTGAACTTGCTAGCAACAAAACTGTAAGCCTGTGACCAGCATGTGGCATGTGATGCACTAGAGGAAATGTAAAAAGCTTTTTACCATCTAGAAATGTCTGTGAGATGACGTGAGTCCTTTTGCAGCAAGTGAAAAAAATACATGAGCTGTTTTCTCGAGTGGCTTCTCTCTTTATTGTTTTATCTGCCTGCTGTTGGATCTTTAATACAGAGCAATGCCACCAGTGACTTGTAGTCTGTAAGCATCGCCATCTCCAGAATATCAGGGAAAACATCAGTCTGGGGAGGGATGGATGTGGCTTCATTCAAAGCATCATCCTGGCAGCCTGTGTTACTCAGAGTTGATAGATGAGATCTGCAGAGAGAAGAATCCATGACTGACCCAGGAAGGATTCCTCCTCTCTACAGGTATATCTGTGTTCAGCTTCCTAAAGCTCATACATTAGAGGGCTGCTCTGAAGCCAACCACAATCAACAAGGTGTTCATATTGTCTTTGGACTGGATCCACGAGGCAGTTGGAGGCTGCTGCTTCCCCGTGCATGTACAGCACCTTTCCCTTTCCCTGTCAAGCCAGCCAGTTCCTGACCTGTTTATCAAGAAAATCCCTTTTAAGGCTCAAAGGTGGCCCAAGTGTTAAGTCTTCTGTGCTGGGGTGAATTTAATTGATTTGAGCAGTAGCTTACTTCACAGTGAACCCCTCAATTTTTTATGACTCTTTCAGGGCAAATGTACCTTTTATAACCTTAGCAGTATTGGCAGTGTGTGATACCCCTTTATTTGCACAGTTTATCTCTTCCTACCTGTGGCTTTGGATAAGCTGCTAATAACAAAAGCTTGTTATCACCAAACAAATGTTCCGAAGTGGCACCATAGAAAACTCGCCAGTCGGTTGGCAAGGAAAACTTTTTGATCAAATACTCTGTGCAACTGGTAAAGAACCTGAAAATAAGAACCTTTTATTTTCTCTCTAACTGCGGGTTACTTCTGGTGTTATTCATGGCCTTTGTAAGAATGGGGTGATCCTCACTTTTATGTAAACACATGTCTATATAGGCTGGCAGAACTTCACCTGGCAGGGACTGATGAAATGTCAGCATTCCAGTCGTGCTGTGCTGGTTCTGTTGGAGATACAACCCAAGCTACTTTCCTTTAACCCCCACCTTTTTTTTCTTTTTTTTTTTTTTTTTTTCTTTTTTTTTCTTTTTTTTTTTTTTGTGGGGGTGTGGGGTGAGGGAATAAAGGGGGAAAAGAATATGTTCCTCATAGCCAGAAAATGCACAATCAACCTTTGAATAGTCCTCTTTCTGTAGTTTTTTTTTTTCCTTTCTTGTGTCAACAAGACAACATTGTGTCAACAGTCAGCAAGCTTTTACTTGCACTGCATATGTCACCTGGAGCTATTGACATGGAGCTGGGGAATGGTGTCTAAAACATATTTCCAGTCCCCGGCATAGGGGATTTCAAAACAACCAGAGAAAGGGCAGCAAAGAAACAGGAAGAGGCTGCAAGGGATGGAGGACAGTGCTACTTACTTAAGGGAAGCTGTTAGAGTCCAAAGACCCTGGTGCATAGAAACATTTTGCTGGAAATATCCTTGTCCCAGTAGAGTAAATGATAACTTCAGAGCAGCTAGTCCCACGCAGCATGAAGCCAATAGCTGTTAGAAATCTGCTGTCTTTAAGAACGCACTGCGTGCTCCTATCTCGGGACCTCAGCCACCTGCAATCCCTGGAACTGTGGAAGCTTAGTGGTGAGACCAGACTAGCCCTTCAGGAGACAGCTTCCGCCATCAGAGGAGTGCTTTTTTTGCCTAGGTCAGGCAATATCCAAGGAGCAGGAATAAGAATGGAATGTAGGGTGGTTTGTAGTGCTTGTGCTCACACTGCCATTCCTAAGTGGTCATGGCTAAACAGCAGCTGTACGTTCAATGATGGGCGCAATCTCTCCTCTGGACACCACAGCCTTTGCACAGAGCAGCCCTCTTTGGAGACACAGTGTAACCACTGACAGCTGTACAGACCTATGCCACAATATACTGATAAACGTGCGATCTGCTGCTAACAGATTTATAGACTGTAACACTTGCTGGCTCTGTTGTGTAGACTGGGATACTATTAACCTAGCTGTAAGATGTGTTAATATGAGCCATCTCCTTGTTGAATGCTCATTTACCATTTTCACATGTTCTTTCCTCTGCTGTATGATAACAGCTCATGTCAGCTCTGTTAAGCTCAGGCCAATGTTACCAGCCCATGGGGAGGATGTGGTCACCCCATTTCCACTAGAAGCCTCAAATATCTTGCCTCAACCTTATCTCCTTGTGGCTCTTTCATGTCTGTGATAAGGGGCTTTGACATGTGGCTAAAGGTGTGCCCACTCCTCAAGCAGCAGGCAGGAGTAGCAGGCACTGAGCAAGCCATGGGGCAGGCTGGGGCAGCAGGAGTATAACTTTCTGATGTCTTGAGGTAACACTCAGGGGCTGAAGCATCTGCCAGCACTACTAAAATGATACCTAATAGAGTGTCTCTGCCCAGCGGTAACCACACCTTTAACTGCAGCAAAGATACAGCTGTTAACTCCTATTTATAAGCTTTCTGTAGCCTAATGCATTTATCACTTGGGCCAACTCTGAGATTAATCAGGTAGCAACAGGGGAGAGGGGAAGATATTATTTAAAGTTGTCAAAATATTTTAAAGAAAGTTTTGGAAAAAAAGCTGCTACCTTACATAAGGTAAAGGAGCTGAATGTTGGAAAGCTACAGTTATCTCTGTGTAGTCTCCTTATCTAGCACGGCAAAAATGAATCTTCCTGTCCACGGACCTGGGCTGGACATGGAAAAAATGGCATTTTTAACTCATATAGAGCTTAAAGTGAAGAGAACCCTGGAGGCTGCATGGGAGGCAACAGCTCTGTTTTTTGATGAAGGTGAGGACAGAAGGTTGAAATAGCTGGCATTATACAAATATTTTTTAAAGTCTCATTAAAGAAATGTTACTCTTAGTTCTTCGTAGATTTCACAGGGTGAGGAAATATTAATTGTATTTTTTGGTAGAATGAAAGAAACCTCACTATTTGCCAGCCAGAGGTGTAGATCTGTTGCACTCTTGGCCATATGGGTAATTTCAGCTCTGGGGAGAGGAAATCTTTTCAGTTAACTGTAAAAGTGTCTGGTGGAGAAGGTGAGCATACAGCTAGTTAAATTATGTATTTGTCTCTGCAGGCATGGTTAGCTTTTTCATGTATTGGATTTAATACAGAGAGATGCTTCTTTCTTTCCAGTCTGGATGCTCAGCTGAGAAACTGGTAGCTTGGCAGTTTGCCCCACCAAGTGCTGTAAAAGGGGGTAAGACACAGTGTTAGAAAGGTCTGGGTTTATGCAAGAAACAGGGAATCCTCAGGTATGATACGTTTCCCATTATCTACTTAAAACAAAAATAATAATCATTTCGCTCCTGTTCAGTTGATTATGCTGAAAGGTGCAGAAAACCTGATATCAACAGATCAAAATATACTAAGGGCTGCCAAACTACATCAGACTCCCCCTGAAGCTCTGCCTTCACGGGGAAGCTGGTGTTGAGCAGCAGCCAGAGAAGTTTGGCACTGGATACAACCTCTGTGCAGGCCTGAGGGGCCTTTCTGGTGCATGACCCATGGGCTAAGCCCTGACCTTGCACGGAGAAGAGCAGTTTTCCTTTTCTGCAAGAACCACTAGAGAATATCATTATGGCAGCCTGAGAGAAGCTGAGAAGCTAAGGAGCTGCAGATCCACCTCAGAGTGGGGTGTTGCACAGCTTTCTCTGTGGATAGTGTGCTGGATGCTAAGAAATGCGTAGACTTTTTACTTTTTACCTGCTGGAAACAGTAACTGAGACCTTTCATGCTGCTGAGTAATTGCCCTTTGTGTAGGTTGCTGAGAGTCTCTTTTCTTCACCTTTGTGAGAACAGTGCCAGGATCCTGGTCCATTAGGAGAAGAGAAAAGCACTGACATTTAGCACATGAGGAATGAACAGGCTTCAGCATGCATACCAAATTATTTATTTGTATCAAAAAGAGCTGGCTTAACGACATGTGTTTGGTAAGGCAGCTTAGGATTTCTTTGAAAAGCAACAACAACAAAAACAGAGGGGGAAAAAAAAACCCAAACCAGCACAACAACAATAAAACACCCCTGACCTTACAAGACAGGTGGATTCATGTAGTGACAGCATCATGTAGAAAATGTGTGAGTAGTGAAGAATAAACTAGACTGTGTTAGGCAGCGCAACTTTGCATAGTTCATGGGCAATTAATCTGATTTGGATACAGTGGATGTGTAAAACCACAGTCCCCATTAGCTATAGCAGATGTCACAGTTCCTATCCCTTCTGAAGAAGTCATCGGCCATGGCCATGGGTGGTAGGTAGTCCTTGCAGTCCGTGCTGGGGCAGGGGAAGTACTGCGGGACCCTGTTGTCCACGTGCTGGGAGCCACAGGCTGTGCAGCAGCAGGCTGAGGTGGTGTATGGGGAGGGGGTATAGCAGGACCACTCCTCTGCAGGGTAGCCATAGGTCTTGGTGTCCGGAGCGGAGGGTGGGCTGTGGGTCAGCGGGGTGAAAGGAGACAGCTGAGGAGGAGAGCAGCTATAGTTTAATGGGCTGGACAGATCAGTTGAACTGGGGGATCCAGCAGCCTACAGTTTGAGAGGAGAGAAAAAAAAAAAGACAAAAACAACCAAAAATGGGACGTTTCAGAGTGTCATTTGAGGGAATCTGGACAGCAGCTGGATTTCCTGTTGCCTTTCTCAGGAGTGTCTATCTAACCAGGGAGATGGTTTGGCCCTTGGAGGCCTAAACCCAAGAGGCAGTTCCTGTGACATTAGTGTTAATAGGGAGCTTCTCTGTGAGTTAGAAAACGGCTAGCAGGAACTGGGCTATTATTTGCAGAAAATCTACAGGATCTGTAGAAGGGACATGCCCTATTCTGCAGTCTCTCTCTAGGTTTGTCTGGGCCTCCCTGTCCTCTGCTCCCAATGAGAAACCATGCAGAAATCTGCACAAGGAGGCTGCATTGCTGTGGCTGTACCCCATGCCCCTAAAAGCAGCCACATTTCCAAATCAGCTTGATGCTGTTCTGCCCCAGGATGTGTCTCCCTTCCCCATCTTCCCTCTGAGTGCACCTGTGGCTGCTCCCCTGGAATACAAAGCTTACCAGGCCCTGGTTAAAGCAGAGCGGGACTGATTGGAAGGCATCTGAGGTGTAGTGCGAGGATGTCTGGAAAGCACTGAAGGCTGGGTCTAAGGGCGCATCTGTCTGAAGACAGGAATCTACCAGCTGTTCCAAATAGCTAGAGCTTTCTTCACAGGAGAGACAATTCGAAAACTGCCATGATGGACAATAGTTGGGAACAGAAGAGATGGGTTCTGCATCAAAAGGTGCTAGGAGAGAAGGTAAATCAGACAGTAGCAGATTATTCAGTATCTGTCTTCACAAAGGGCAGGTGTTGCCCAGGTCAGGTTTCAGTACTCATATGTTCAGTAGCCCTGTGGATTTAGACAAAGAAAAAGGTCCTTCAAGTTCAGGGTGAATTTTCTAGGGAAGCAGACACCGGGAGGAAGATGCTTAAAAGCATGCAAATAACTTGGGGAACTTTCATCCCCTTGGAAAGCTCAAAAAACTCTTTAAGTACTGCTGGAAACTCTTCTGGCTCCAGCCATTTTGGACAAGGATCCAGCTGGAAACTCCCTCAGACTCTTGACCCTCTGGCCTGCCTTCAAAATGTCAACTGTTTACAGACCTAGAAGGTTGCCATGCCTTGATTTATACTTCACAGCTTGGCAGATGGCTTGTGCCTTTGCCTCACTCAATCTCCAGATGCGGCGTAGCTACATCTGCAGGAAAAAGGGGGTAACAGAAGAATAATTTGCTCTTTTATCCTCCAAACGGCCAGACAGGAGACAAATGTCTGAGTAGACAAAATGGAGCAAGTCAGTGATAACGCGGCATTGCATCCACTTAGTGTTACCGGCAAAAGTGCGAGTTCCTAGAAAGTTGTAGGGACAGACTCTCACTGTACTGCAACATGCTTGCTGGGTGTATGAAAGCTCACAGCAGATCTGACTCTTCAGAATAATTATCTTTTCATGCTGTGTTCAAATATGGTTAAAAGCAAAGCCCTGTCCACATGGAGGGGCACAGGTCTCAAGGCAATGGAACCGCATGTGGGTAGAGTCGCTCAGAGTCATAACTGTTTGCAGGTTCAAGGTGGCAGTGTTTAGCTGGATGTGGGGAGGAAGTGAGAAGCACCCAAAATACATAAATAGATGGAGATTTTCCAGCCTGAAAAAGCTTTGGTATGTCTCACTTTTCTTTATTAACATAAGCAAATTGATTCCCAAATATTGATGATTTTATCATTTCCTTGTCCAAACGATCTATATATGCACACCCGACCAACCTTTTAGGTGTCTCCGCTTTGGCTGCAGAATAATTGAAGGATCTGTGAGCCCAAAGAGCTATTCCCCCCACCCCTTTCCCCTTTCTTTGGATGTTCACATACAGGAGGAAGAAACTCTTTGTGTCGCTGAAAACCTGACACTCATTTCACTCCTATGGATGCTGCCAGAAGAGTGAGAATAGCCAATTCTGCTGGAGTTCAGCAAAGTGCTTCAGGGCGATCTGACCCTCTAGCTCCAACCGGACCCACAGACTGCAGCCTGGAGAAGGTGAAGCCAGCAGTGCTATTCCCTCGGGGATGAGCATCCCTTCCTGAAGAGGATCTCACTCCTTGCTGTGGGAAAAATAAACTGCAGAAATGAGAGCATGTGAGCGTGCTCCTGAACAGCGTATTATATACCTGGCTGGCCTCACGGCATCCTCATCTGCATTTCATGGGCTCCCTTCAGGTGCTGATTGGCTGCATTGCCGGTTATCTGGCACTGCCTGCCTCAACCAAGGGCTGGAAAGACTCGGCTGTGGGAAAAATTGGGAAGGTGGTGGGAAGGGACATGTGGATAGGCTTTGTACCAACCTGGGTGAGGAGGAGACACAGACTCTGAAAACTGGATGCTGCTGCTGCCCCAAGAAACCTGACCAAAGAGAAGGGAAGAAAAGAAATTGTAGATACTGTAACACAGGGAAGCATTTTTCTGCATGCTGAGGTAAGTCAGGATTTCACTTCAACCTATTCACGTAAACCTAATTTACCTGACGGCTGTGGCATCGAAAACTTCCCTAGTATTAACAGAACAAGATTAACGTGCATAACATGACTTTTCCCTGAGCCTGTAATGGCACTGGAGGAGCACACCACCAACCTGGTGTAAAGCCCTTGATACAGCACGTTGCTAGTGTGCTCTTCCTACTGCGCTGTTACTGTTAATTCAGCAGAGAGGTGGCTGCCTTTGAAACTAACATGTTAATTTCTAGGACCATGAATTCCACAGTGGAGGGGTCCCAAAGAATTTGTGGGGATAAACATGATTGATTAATTAACAAAATGTAGTGATAACTCTTGAAACGTGACTAAAGACAATGGCAGGTATCCCCATGGCTGGGCATCAGACTGGGTCACTGTGCTTGGTGCTGACATCATTTGAGAACCAGCTCTGACATTGCTTCCCACTCTTAACACACCTACGTGCCTCTATGAAAATTGACAGTCTCATTTTCTAAGGGATGCTGGAAGCTGAAGTGGACAGATCAATCTGTTCTAGGAACCTGACCTACCAGTGGGGAGAAATTCATCCCAAAAGCAAAGGGAGTTTTGATGCGTGTTGTTCGGGACCAGGATTTTACTCTGCAAATACAAATACTGGTTTTATTTCTCAGTTTTCATTCATACAGACTTCCACTTCATTTCCTTTATTCAAAATGCTCTCAAGTTAGTGGCTTATTTCCCTAGCAACAACTTCCTAGCACATCCCCATGCATTTAATTCATTAAATACTGACTATTCTGGGCTGAAAGTGCCTGTAGGACTAGCCCTTTTCTCTCTGGCTGCAGACGTGTAACAAGGTAGACAGAGCCATACCACCAGCAGCAGAAGTTTTCAGGTTCGGCTTTTTTTCAGTGCATGGAGACAGCTTATCCTGCCAGCCCTAACCTCTGGGGCCTCTCCAGGACAACGCGTACCTTTTGCAGATCACAAAGGTAACCTCCTGCACTGCCACTTTTCACTTTTTCCTGCGTGGGCAAAACAAGCACTTTGTAAACTCGCTGTGGGAAGCGAAAACCAGTTCCACGCAGCCCTGTGACGCCTGGCTGCAGTGAAGAGAGTGCTTCCGTTAAGGCTGGAGGGGAGGCGTGATCCAGCATTTCCAAAGCTCAGCAGTTTTGTGCCCAGGCCTCTCTGCCTGCGGCTTGCAGGCCCATCAGCTTTTTGTACAATCTGCTGCAACGAGGTGCAGGAGGTGGGAGACAAAATCTGAAAACCATCCAAAGCTGTAATGTCATGAACCGGGAAGAAGTAATGATTTACCAACCTCTTTATGCAAATCCCTAGAGTGGCTGAACCTAGAGGACTCCTACAAATACTGGAAGACTGCGACAGAGAGAGAGACAGAGAGTGTACACGTACGTGTGTATACACACACACAGATCTCCATCCCCTCCTTTAGAAGGAATGGGGCCCGGAGCCACCCAGGTGGTACTGAGAAACACTGGAGACCTTAATTCAGTTAAGCACGCTTGAATATTATGCTAAGAAGCCCTAAAGGAGCAGGATGGAGCCCTGCTTAAGGGGTCTTTGCTCATGCCTTGTTTTCTTCCTTCCTGCTAGCCAAAATTTGCAGCTGTTGCTCAGTCCCACATTCCCAAACCCTCTTCACTGCCTGGGAGCTGCTGCAGGCGCTGTACCTCTGGTGCCTTCATCTCCTGCCTGATCTAACTGGACAAGAGAAAGCCTCCAGGGGTAGGGGGTGGTTGAAAGCAGCTTCCTGGAGGATGAGACTTGTAGAAAAGGGGGAGGTTAGGGGAGCTTTAGTGTGACAGAGCTTTGCCCTGGTTGCTTCTCAAAGCTACCCAAGTCGGGTGGAAGGTGTGCCCAGAACATACGCTTCACCTGATGCTGCAAGACAGTTTAGTGCATGCTTCAGCCTGGCCAGACCACATTTTAAAGGGGGAGCAGTGACCATGGCCTGCCTTGCTCATCCAGCATAATGATGCTGGAGTTGCTGTGACAACTGTAAGTTGGACTGTAATTTGTCCACGTGGGCCTTCCACCCCAGAGTGAGTTACGTTTCGAGAGCACCAGCTCCGCTTTCTCCCTGCGCTAATGGATCAGACTGTCACCTGTTTAGATGACTGCTGCAGTTACCCTGACTGAATGCTCTGCCCCCATCCTCACCAGCCTGCCACACTCAGACTTTGGCAGTCTCCTTGGCCCAGAGATTACAGTTTTGGTGAAAAAAATTAAGAGAGAAGAGACAAAGCAGACAGCAAAAGATTACTTACCGCTGCACCAGTTGCTGCTTGTCGTGCTCTTCTCTGCTGCAGTAACTCCTTAACTGTAATCTTCACTCTAACACCTTGATACACCTTGGGCTTTCCTGAAAGAATTTGTGCAAAAACACTTTACAAGATGGGAGACTTCAGAGCATACAGCAAATCCAGCATGTTTTCAGGCATGCTCTACGTGGAGTCTAGAGTTAACATGATTAAATGGTCACTGTTAAGTCACTTGTAATCACAGTTTATAGCCCTCTGTAACACCTGCTATTCAAGCTTGTAGACGTTTATGAAAAAATTGATGTTGATTATATTTAGTAATCACACATGTTTTATTCTTTTCTACCTCCTTCTTCCCCCCCACCTTCTAGGTGTCTTAATAACAAGCTCTATCTGGTGCTACTGTTGAGTTTATTTAAATTCCTATCATATTTGCCACTCCTAGGACCTGAAAATAAATGTGGGAAGCACTTCATCTGGCAGATGAAGACCAGGAACTAAACAATGGAACTATGTGGGCAGTTATTCAGAGGGCTAAACAAAACATGAATAAAATGACTGCTTTCATGAATCAACTCTTGCAAAGCCTACATTATCTCTTTATTTTGCTCATTCTCTACAACTCCCATTTATTTCAAACAAGTATTTAGGATGTCTTTAATCCAGGCAAAACCAGTCAACATTCATCAGTCACTCCCTGATGAGGGATTTTCAGTACGGGAAATGGTAAACAATTTACCTATTCTGGAAAATCACTTTCATTTGCTGTACTCATGGTAAAATATTTAAAGCCTCTGACAGCTCTGTTTCTGTCCTAACTTTCTGCTGTTATTTTCATCCAGTAGCAGATCCTACAAACACTAGTGTCGTCTCATCCTGGAGTCAGCTGTTCCTCAGTGGAGGCAGCTGGTTGCAGGTTCCCTGTCCTATTGCTGCTGCATGCAGCAAGAAGACAGTGCTGGATGTGCGGATTCTGCCCGCATATCCAAGAAATCCCACACTATAGGCACTGTCCTTCTGCTATAACCTCTCCCCTTTGGTGATGGCTGTACAGCATCTTCACCCTCCTGTCTGCCCACCCCCAGGTCTCGTGCTGCCGTCTTGGTGCTCTGGTTGAGGACACGCTGTAACAGGCATATAGGTCCCTCCAGAAAGGCGGTAGGCTAAGCCGGGTCTGCCTTGAGGGGAGTTTGCTGAGCTATGCTCTCAGCAGCTGGGGATTATTCATCTCCTATTTTTATGTTTTGTTTCTATTCAACAAACTGAAGATGGGGAAAATGAAGGGAAGGAAGGTTTGAATTTAACGAGAACACCCTCTTACCAGGCCTCCCTATGGCCAGGGAGAGCCCTGAGCTAGCAGCACGTTCTGCAAGTTTGGGTTCGTGCTGCGTACAGCCTCCTAGCTCTGGTCTGCACGGGTAGCTGGACAGGGCACTATGAGCAACTTAAAGACAAACTAGCAGGTGGGGTATGGACACATCTATAACCCAGGGGCTGGCTATTAGGCAGCCCCCACCCCCAGCTCCC